GCAGATCTGTGATTGACATCTCAACCTAGCCACACAGGTTCCTTGCTTTGGTTTGAAATGTGGTTGCCAAGACGTTTCAGCCAATCACCGCCGAGGAGGGGCGGAGCGAAGCTCGCATCAGGTTAGTGCTATACTGAAAAGACTATAGAAAGGGGAGATCCAATCCGGTTTCAGCTAGTTTGTGTTCCGATAGAACATTAATGCTAGTTGCTTCAGTGTTTCCTAGACCCGGTTCTTACTCTTTACTTATCAGCGCGTAAGCTATTTTAATTTATTTCCTTTTTGTTGTGAAAGCATACAAGCTTTAAGCAGCCATGCCTAAAAGGAGCAAAGTAAGTAGAAAAATATTACATATTTTATTCTATGGCTTTATGCAATAATTAAATATGCACGTCCCTAGGACGCTTTATGTAAAGGTATGTGAGTGTTGACCGCATTTGTGCTTGTGTTAATTCGTAATCTAGGGCATGAGAGACCGTGGCATGAATCTGGCGCCTTTTTACTTCAGAGCTGTGCTATGTTCTTTTGGCTGCGTGCGGATACTTTAAAGAATAGCGCATTCTCGGCTTTACTTTGACATTAAAGCCGTGTATCGAACACGCAGAGTACGTTAATGTTCAGACAAAGGGGTGTAACCTCGTAACGTTTGCTCATGTTGTTATTCCTCACGGAGAAGAAGCTTGTCCCGCGAGTGTTTTGCGTTTAACCGCGGTGTTTTAATACCTGTATAACCGTATACATACGAAGCAGTCGAAGTTGCGAGTTTAGAGACCTTGTGGGGCTATTCTTAGTCCCTCGTGTGACTGTAAATACATGTATTGTTAGTTGCGGGCTGTGTACGACTGCATATGGTCCTCGAGTAGGACACACACACACTGGAGTGTCATGGCTGCCTTCGCGCTAAACACATTCGAAGCCTTGTATCCAAATGAAACCGTTATCACGGCAGTTGTGTTTCATAATTCGGGTTTTGCCTGCGAATCCCGCCTTAATTTTTCACTTGACCTTTCAAACGGACTTTGGAGAGTGGCTTAAGAAAGTTTTCACCGACTTTATTTGTGGATTAAAGGTATTAACCTCCCGTTTTCACGTTTCTGTTTTATTTCCGATGCGAACCTAGTTTGTGTTAACAATGTGTCGATGTATTTATTTAATGTATTTGCTCGTCGAAAGTGAATGAATTCTGTCTGTGGAGGCGGAGCTACTGTTCCCCTCCTCCATGTGAACTACGTAGGGACGGAAATTTCCAAGTAGGTATAACTACAGACCGGAGATCTCCAAAATGGGGCGT